TACACGTATGACTGCGTGAGTGTACATGTGCTGTGTGCGCGTGTATGCATGTGTGCAGTGTACACGTATGCCTGCGTGAGTGTACATGTGCTGTGTGCGCGTGTATGCATGTGTGCAGTGTACACGTATGCCTGCGTGAGTGTACATGTGCTGTGTGCGCGTGTATGCATGTGTGCAGTGTACACGTATGCCTGCGTGAGTGTACATGTGCTGTGTGCGCGTGTATGCATGTGTGCAGTGTACACGTATGCCTGCGTGAGTGTACATGTGCTGTGTGCGCGTGTGTGCAGTGTGTATGCAATGCATGTATGCATGTGTGCAGTGTGTATGCAATGCATGTATGCATGTGTGCAGTGTGTATGCAATGCATGTATGCATGTGTGCAGTGTGCGTGTGAGCGTACGTACGTGCGTGTGCGTGCGTGCGTGTGCGCTCCTCTCCTATCCTCCCTCTTCTCTCGCTTCTCTCTTGTACTTAATTCTGTATCACCTGACTTTCTACGTTACCATCCGTCTTTATACGTGACGTCACGTAACGGTAATTAAGAGTAGTCATCTGACTTTCTACATTACGTCACGTGTAATTAACAAGTAATCAACAGGTAATTAACAAGTAATCAACAGGTAATTAACAGGTAATCAACAGGTAATTAACAAGTAATTAACAGGTAATTAACAGGTAATTAACAGGTAATTAACAGGTAAATAGCTGGATGAGCACACACGTACCTGTCCTGCGGTGACCGTGATTTCATCTAGTGGCTGCTTGATGGAGGGTTTCAGGTTGAGGCCAGGCTTCGTCGGCACCGGCTTCTTCTGCAAGCAGTCGTGTTCAGCCACCCATTGAGACAGTGGGTACGCAGAAGCATTCATACACATACTGAACAACTAAATGGCCAGCTATGAGTACAAACCGTACAGTTATGAAGCAGTGCGCAGGGGCCCATTGTCAGAAACAAAATTGGTCTTAACATTGGTTTTAACATGAACTTTTTCTCTTAGACCGTTGACAGAAACGCTGCGAAGTTGCGAGAGTGAAAAATCGTAGCAGATTTCCTCGTAACAATACGAAACAAAGTGATGTCGACGGTCTAGGAGAAATTGTTAATGTTAAGACTAATGTTAAGACTAATTTTGTTTCTGACAACGTGCCCCCGGCTCCGTCGCCAGGGAGTGACGACTAATGTTGAAGCCGGTGAATAATGAACGGGTGGTTTCGTCGTAGTATTGATATTACAACAAATACCAGGAGAAATTAGTGTGGATGCCACTCCGTCTAGTCTATGTATGCTAATCAAAACCATATATTACATGTATAAATGATTATTCAGTGGACAAACTGATGGTAGACAAAATGGGAATGGGGTGGATTTTTAATGTAGACGAATCGGGAGTAGGCGAAATGGGTGTAGACCAATTGGGAGTTTTGCTATAGACGAAACGGGAATTCCGCCGTAGGCGAAATGGGTGTAGGCCAACCGGGAATAAAGCGTACGGTCGGTACTCACCCCACTCGGCAGCTCAGGCGTGGTTGTCGTGGGCGTGGTCGTTGCCTCCATGGTCGGGAAGACAGAGGTCGGCGCTATGACAACCGTTGCTGTCACATCCACCTGCAACAGATGCAAATGACGTCACCACCACGCGTAGCAAGTCGTAAAAGCACACGACCATTGCCGCGACGAGTCTACGCCGCGGCGCGTCAACCGACGACTGTTCAAACGACAGAGGGCAGCACATGTAGACACGACATGCGTGCGCTGCGAGGGGGGGATGTGCTCGAGGGTTAGGGTTAGGGTTAGGGTAGGTGAGGGCGGGGTGCAGGCAGACATACGGTACCGTGACGTGCTAGCTCCGGGGTGATGTGTGAGTGGCGCACGCGGGGGTGGGTGCGAGGCGGGCGGGGCAGGGGGTGAAGCATGCGCAGCGACCCCCGCATCCACCGTTGTAGCTACGCCTGTCGGCGCCGGTCGGCAATAGCTGGCTCTGGTGTTGGCCGACCGGCACGCAGCTTTAAATAACATCCTTCCGACCGGCAGAAATATGATTGAGTTTGTGTAAAATTACCTTCAAAATGGTGAGCAATCTACAAATGATCACAACTGATACACTTAGTTGCCCCGGGACGCCACCAGGGGGCCCTGGACCCCCGGCCGTGAACCGCTGCACTCCGTTCGCTCCACTCACTACGCTCGCAATCACTGACATTAGCCGGCAGTAAAATTGTCCTGGCTACAACCTAGCCCACATTCCCCCCACACACCCACCCCCAGCAGCACTGCAGCTAGACATCCATGATCCACATAATCCGGCTATCACAATTTGCATCACGGTTACTGTAAATAGTACTTTTAACTTGTACATGGTTACTGT